CTTTGGTTTCTTTTTTGATGTATTTTTGCTCGCTGTTTGTGAGGACGTTGATTTCCTGGATAGTGTCTTTGAGTTGTTGGATTACTTGGTTGCGGTCGGAGGTTTCGTCTTCGAGGCGCCGTTTTTCGGACGCAAGTTCTTTTTGGAGGGATTTGAGTGTGTGGGAGGCCTCTCTCTCGCTGGGGAGAAAGAAAAAAAAACAGACAAGTTTAACGAAAAGTTTCAATGCAGCACACTACTCTTTCGCCCTTTTACCGATCGATCGTTTCTTGCAGTGTGTTTCGCTTCTTGTACTCTTCCTCGACCGTTACGACGAGGCTTCCGAAGCGGTAGTCGCGCAGCTCGCGGGCGGTTTTGCCAATCAGCGCCTGAAGCGTGCTGCGTTCCTGCTGGATCTTGGCCTGGTTTTTGGCCGAGTTGGCATGTGATTTTGATGCCGCGGCTGATAAGAAGCACAAGAAGCAAGAAATTAAAGATCACTTGATTTCGGAAGGCGTTGGACGCTTTTTTTAAAGCGTACCTTGAGAGTTGCGGCCTTGTTCTGTGGTCAGGTCGTGGCCGCCTGCGACACCACCGCCGCTGCCGTCCTTTCCGCCGCGACTTTGCCCAGCTCGATGTCGGAACGTGTTTTGCTCGCCAAGGAGCTGCTCATACCGGTCCTCGAGCGCACGCTGGTCTTGCATTATCCTGCCTCCATTCTAGAGTGGAAATATGAAAAAAGATATAAAGTACAAATCAGCCTGAATAGCCACCTTGGAGCTTGAACCCGACTGCAGGACATGAGAAAACTCCCGTACCATACCGGCCTTGCTTCACCACTTTTGGCGAGTCCACCCGCACCTCCACCACCACCACCACTTGCGCCACCACTAGCAGCGTCTCCTCCTGCATTCGCACCACCGCCAATACCGGCAATATCCGCCAACACGGCAAGCTGCTCAAGCGCGTCCTCAAAAATCGCCGTGTAGCTTTGTGCTTTTCCCGGCGGGATCAGCAACGCTGAGGGTACTGCAGTGGTTGCAGTGGCGGCTGAGTATGTGGAGTAGCGGGCGAGGTCGTCGTCGGCGTCATTTTCGTCGCCGGGGTGGGTGGTGGTTGCGATAGTGGGTGTGGTCGTGGTTTCGTCCTGTGATTGTCGGGGTTGGTAGGCTGGACGGAGTGGGGATGAGACGCGGGAGGAGGTTGTGGGTAGTGGTGGGAGGGGTGTTGCTGCTTTGCTGAGGAGCATGGTCGCGGGCAGGCTGTGGGAAGGAACGACGGCTCTCCCTTGTGGTTTTCCGTCAGCTCGCCAGGTCTGTCAGATCACGTGAGCGGAGGAAAGCCGCAACATCTAAACAGACCGCGCACTCGCCCCACTGCACCACCTCTTCATCGCTGATGCTCACGGGTTGTGTTATTCTCATTAAAAAGAGCCTGCCAAAAGCGAGGCGAGCTCCCCTGCAAAAACACCCCCTCAAACTGCAACTCCAACATGTCCTTGTCCCAGCAACAACAACAGCAGGACGCGCACGACCAACTCTACCGCTGCGGCCAAATCAATGAATTCCACAAGAGACTATGAAGGCGTATGAGAAGACCTGCGCCGACACCGGACAGCTGCCGAGCCACAAGATTACAAAGAAGCTGCTCGCCGGCTTTGCCGCCGTGGAAATCGACAAGCAGTTCGGGGCCTAGGGTCTTGACGGGCTCGACAAAAAGTATGCCAACGAGATCGCCATCCAGAACAAGCAGTTCGGGGCCTAGGGTCTTGACGGGCTCGACAAAACGTATGCCAACGAGATCGCCATCCAGAACATCCGCCAGCGACAGCCCAAATACTTTTTGTGTTATGGTAGCCCCTGCCAATCGACCGGCTGGCTCGCCCGCGGCACGTTTCACGTTGTGTTTGCATTTGCGGGCCGGGAGGCGACCTTTGGGGATGGACACAGGGGGTAGGGCGAGGCGACAGGGATCCGTGGGGCGGGTTGGGAGGACATGAGGGTTCTCTCAACCCGGTCCACGGATTCCCACACACTCAAGACGAGCATCTCATCGACATGGACTCCACCCGCGACTCTACCCCCCAGAGACGTTGTTATTGCCATTTGCGCCAACAACCCCGCGTCGCCGAAGACTTCCACGGCCATCGAGCGCGTTTATACTATTTCGGCAGCCAGCACGCCCGCGCGGCGCCCGCCTGGTGGTGTCGTCTTTTTTCATCTACGCCAGGCCACCCCACAACCCAATAATGTCGGAATCAGGACCCCTCATGCTCGCTGCGGCCTCGTTCTGATCGAGGCTGGTGTTGTTGGTTGTAGTAATCAACGGCACGACAGCGTATCTGTCCTGAAGCAAGGAAACAATTGCACAACTGAGATCTGTAAATAAGCGATGTTACACATCTCAGCCTGCCTACGTAATTTCTTTTCCGGGTGTTACGGCGTATGCCCGCAGATGGTGTTCTTGCTGTTCTGCGCTTCTGCACGCTGCTTTCCGCTGGCGGCAAGGCTTGCTATACTGCCAATATGTCCGTCCACCAGCAAGCGTGCGGCCAGAAAGCACAACCAGCGGCGGCCTTGCCGCCTTCTCTCCAAATCAGGTTCCACGCACGGCTAGGCGTTTATTGCGGCACTAGGCGCTTGATTATTGGTCAGCGGTTACTGTCGACGGGCGAGCGTTGACTCGGAAGATAGTAGGATCAGTGCACGGTAATTCCGCTTCTTTTTGGGTGAGCCGCATAAGGTTACCGTCGCCGAGTGCTTCGGCGTGCGCATGGCGACCTCATCAAGGCGCAAACATATCTTAAAATCCTGTATAACGGTCAATCTCGTCTTGAAGTATCAGCACCTTGTAGCTACACCGCTGTCTCGTCTTCCCGGCGTGGCGGGTGATTCTGCAACAATTCCTGTCGCAACCGCTGTCGCTGGAGCCGGTCTTTAATATACGACTCCAGTCGTTCAGCAGTGCGGCGACCCTATCCAGTGGTTAAGTCTCGTATTATAGCAGCGACAAGCTGCTTCGCAGTGAGCTGCGCTGAGTATTTTTGTTCCTCGCAGTCGTCGCGTCCTGTTTTCCCCAGCTTTTTCCTCTTAATCCCCACTCTCGCCATGTCAGGCCGACGGAAAGCCCCCGCTAGAGGTGCTGCAAAGCCAGCCGATGCTGCTGCTGCTCCAGAACAACCGGGTGCAGATGCCTCCGCACTACCACCGCCGCCACCAGCAACAGCTGCCGCCACAATTCCCGCCGCGGCCGCGGCACATAGGCAGCTCGGCTCGATTGGCCCAAGCGCCGCCGTCCCACATGCTGCAGGACGGCTGGGTTCGCTGCGCGCACCGCGGGATCTGACTGGCGGAGCCGGTGCTAGCGCTATTGCCGGCGCTTCCGCCGCGCCTAAGGTTCGGAAATGCAAAACTGCGAAGAAGCTCGTGGTGCACGGGGTATGTGATCTAACGGGGCATTGGGTTTCCAGCCGAAGTTTGCGCCAACGATTCCGGCAACACGGAGAAAGAAGGTTGAACCGTACGTACGCTCTCTATAGCAAGTGGGCACCGTAAACAGGAGTCAACAGGTGTCTACAGTGTGGAAAAGGGGCCTGACTGCGAGTTTCTTTCTTCGCAAACTACAGAGTCGCACCGCCCAAAAACGAGTTTAGGCGTGGCGACGGCGACCGTGGACGTGGACGTGGGCGCGGACGGGGTCGAGGCGCCGGCATGCGGCACGAGGTGCAGATGACCGCCTCTGGTCCGTTCGCATTCGGTCCTGCGCAACGCGGGATCATTCAAACGCCAGGGCGATACAGCGCGCCCGAGGCCAACATGGGCAAAACCGAGTACGTCGGCTCTGGAGACCGCAAAGCCGACCGCGGGTCCACGTCGTCATCAGACGACGATGACTCGTTTGATGTTACGGATCAGTGGGCGCCCGTGTCGATCGGTGGACCGGCGCGCGTGATCAGGGACAAGAATGCGAAAGCTAAATTGAAGAGCGAGCGGAAGACTGCTGCTGCTGCGGCTGCACGGGCAGCGCGTGCAGCAGCGGAAGGGCGGGCGGCTGATGGGACAGTGAGGGTCAAGTTGGAAGACGGGACCTTTGCGAGCGTGCCGGTCGTGCCGGGAGATTCCACGACGATGGATGTGGACGGCGTGCCGCAGCAGGATCCTGGGATAGACCTCTCTGACGCTGTGGACGGACGCAGCACCGAGCTCGGATATCACAGCTTGCCATCCGTCTTTGATACCGATGATGTGAGTCGTGTTCGCCTTAGACCAACTCTGCGAGAGTGCATTTTCTCATCTTTGCTGTTTCCTTCTGCTCCTCACAGGCCCCTCCACTTATTTTCTTTCAATTCCCATCTGTTCTCCCCAAATTCACACCACCGCCTGAAGACCTTGAGATGCTCCCGTCAGCCGCGCCATCAGCAGCGCCAACGCCGGCATCATCATCTGGCGCCGCATCCGGACGCCCACAATCCGCTCGCGCCGCTAAAGCCGAGGCTGCTAAGATTAAAGCCGAGGAGCCCGCTTCGGCAACTCCGACAGCGCCCGTCGGACCCGATGGGCGTGTGGGCCAACTGCTGGTGTACAAGTCTGGCAAGATGCAGATGCGTATGGGGCAGATTGTGTTTGATGTAAGTTCGCGTGAGAGCGGCAAGCAGAGATCGTGCAGTTATTAACCTCCTTTGTTTTCTTCCCTTTCTTTTCTATTTACGCGCTGTACAGGTCACACTGGGTCCACAGCCAACGTACTTGCAGAGCGTGGTGGCGATTGACGGCCTGAAGGGTGCGTGTCACGTTCTCGGCAATGTGTCGCAGCGATATGTCTGCACGCCGGATGTTGAGGGCATGCTGAGTGGGAGCTTGGGCATAGGCGCCTTGTGAACGCTGTGCAAATATACTTGAAATTCCGAATGATGTTTGGGGAACAAAAAGGCATTCCGTAAATGTTGAGTTCAGCAAAGATTTCCTGATGACCATCGTCGTAGATCAAATTGTAAACTTGAACTCGGGGCGCCGAAGAAACAAAGTCCTATAGTGTAGTGGTCATCACCCAGGTCTCTGACTCCTGAAACCTCAGTTCGACTCTGAGTAGGACCTTGTGTTGCGAGCAGCATAGCGTTTTGGATCAGTCTGCGAGGGTAGGAAAGCGAAGATAAAAGGAGCTAGTTTGCTAGGTAAAGGGTCAGGAAAGCACGCGTGGGGAGCGCGATACCGTGCTTTTTGGCGTCTCCACATTCACGGGGTTCGCGGCGTATTACAAGGGGATAGAGGATTTCTGCGGGAGTTTACCAAAAGAACGAAGCCGGCTGCATGCAATTTCGATTCTCGTAGGGATCCACCATGGACCCTTCTGGATTCCCACCAGAAGTGGTGGGTCGCTTGAGGAAGGCAAGAACTTCGACGTTCATGAATCGTGGAAGCCTGCGGCGCTCCAAGCTAAAAAGTTCGGTACCGGTCCCATCTCCGATGGACTAACTGCTCCGTGCTTGACAGAGCCTGGCGAAATACTTTGCCGGCGGTCGTCCTTCTTACAACGTCACGTTTAAAGGAGGACCGATGTCATGTTTTCTGCCCGCACTTTATTCGGGTGACTGCGCACCCGTATGTATGTGTGTACTATCAGCGACCAGGTCCGCATAACTAGCCGATTTAGTTGTTTTTTTCAAGGAATCGAAAATTTGGTATATTTACACGAAACTTGGGACAAAAGGGGAAGAAACAAAATGCAGTCTACAACGCAAAACAAAAAGGACAGACATATATCGCAGGCGATTAAACTTGAACACGTCTCAGAAAAAGGTCTGGTTCTTGGGTGTGCCCACTCAGATAGCCATCTGCTGGTGCTGAGTGGTCGCAACCGGCTTGGGGCCAGCCCCATAGCCACCAGCGCCACCAGCGCCAGTCGTCAACGCATCGCCGGGCGCGCCGACGAATTCCGGCTCAGGCTGCCCCCATCCAGCTTTGCGCGTAGCAGGCAACACATGGTTCTCACCAGCGCCGCCCAGCGCGTAGTGGTACCCAGTCTCGGTGGTGCGCGGGAGCGGGACGTGGTTGAATCGGTAGTCAAACAGCGCGGCGTACTGCATGCGGTACGTGGCGATCGCAACGCACGAGCCGATGATTGCGCCCGCGAGGCAGTCGTACCAGTTGTGGAATTCGTCGATGGTGAGGGAGGCGGTGATGAGGGTTGCGCCGAGGAGCGGTGCGAAAAAGAGGACGAGCTTCCACATGTGTGGGCGGTAGTTTGCGAAAATCTTGAGCTTGCCGTTGATGTAGAGCGAGAGGAACAAGAAACCAGCCCAGGCGGCTGTCGAGTGGCCAGACGGGAAGCTCTCGAGCGAGTCGTTGATTTCTTTGTCATCACCCGTGCAAACAGAACGGTCGACCATGATGCCGCTGAATCCTTGGCCGGCGTTAGCGAGAGACGGGTCGACGTTGGGTTTGCAGACGGCGTAAAAGTGCGGACGCAGACCACCGATGAGCCACTTGAGGAAAACCTGGAACACGGCCGCAGTCACCAGTGACATGATCACGCCCATGATAGCGGCGTTCGCGTCGGTGAAGCTTCTGACCCGAGCTTGCATGGCCAAAATCACAACTGCAGGAATTGTAAACGCGAGGAAGGCCGCAAGCCAGATGGGGATGATGTTCTTCCTCAGCGGGTAGGCGAATTCCGGGTACACAACCTCTCCATCTCTGAAGTAGATGGGGAAGAGACGGTTGGGCGCGGGACGAGCCATGTAGATGCCGAGACCGAGCGCGCCCATTGCAGCCATTGTGAGATAGTCCTGCCAGTAAGTGCGTACGTAGGACGACAGCGTGAATTTGGGCTCGCCGGTGGAGCGCGCAGGGTAGCCGCCATTGCGGTTGTCGTAGTTGCGGTTGTGGTTGTGGTGGTGGTGGTGGTCGTTGTTGGTGATGGCAGCAGCGTCATCGACCGTGGCGACGGACCCGTTGCGGGCGGCGGGCATTTGCGCGGACATGGTTGCGGTAAGAGGCAAGAAGGGGAGGAGGAGAACGAAGGCTATCGGGTGCGGGGCTTGAGCGGGGGGTCCTCCTTTTTATACTGCACAAAGGGTTTTAGAAAAAGAAAGTTCGTGCGCGCAGTTGGCCCCGTCGGAGTTTTCTGCTACGACCGGCGGGCGACGTCATGCTGACTCATGCACCGTCACCTGCTCGCGTGACGTCAGGCAGCAGCAGCAGCCGGCCACGTGTGCGCGCCAAGTCACGTGGACTCGTCCCCCCCCCGCCATTGCACTTGCTGCTGCCCTTCGCGCTGCCTGGAAAATCCTGGAAATCCCTCATCGTACTATTCTCTCTTTCGTTGCGACTCGCAGAGCACAGCAATGGCCTCTTCTGCCGTGCCATCGGACGCGCATCCACTCGCCCCTTCCTCGCCCGCAGAAACAACCCCATTGCTCTCCTGGGACGATGCCGCCGAACTCGAAGCAGGCGGTGCCGGCGGAAGCAACTCTTCGCTAGCGTCGTCGTCAAACCGTCGTCGCGGAAGTGCCAGCGGCTGCAGCAGCACCCGCACCCGCATCTCATCCGCATGGAGTACCCTACCTCCTCGTTTGCGCAAGACACTCATCGCGCTAGCCATCATCTTTGGCTCTCTGTTTGCCCTCTTTGCACTGCTCGCGACGCCATGGCACGAAAAGCGTCCACCAGTATGGGACGGCACGTCTCCACTACCAACACTTCCAACCGCAAATAACGGCGGAGCGCGAATCCTCGCGTACAATTTCTACCTCCGCCCACCACCAATCCAATACGCCGTGTCCGCCGACTACAAGAACGAACGCCTCGCGCTGTTCACCGCCCGCGCAATCGACATGTTTGACATTATGGCCATGAGCGAGACTTTTGGCACGCTAACTTCGCGTCGCGCGCGGCTTGTAGACGCCGCTGCCGCGCGTGGCATGCCATACTGGGCCCACGGGCCCGAACGCAACTGGTGGCGCGGCAAATTCGTCGACTCGGGCCTGCTCGTCATGTCGCGCTATCCGATCGTGAAAACCGACACGATCGAGTATGTCGTTGGCGAAGGACCCGACGCGTGGGCTGCAAAGGGCATCCTGTATGCCCAGATCGCCGTTGCTGACGCAAAAACCCGAGAAACAAGTCGCGTGCACTTGTTTTTGTCGCATCTGCAGGCCACGTATATCAAAAACGAAGATGGAGATGACTTATACAGCGAGGCGGCGACGGTCCGGTTGCAGCAATTTAACCTCTTCCGCTCGTTTATTGCGCGGACACTCGACTCGAATGGGTACAACTCGACTCTGGACGCGGTGCTCATGGCAGGCGGTATGTATATATGCACACAATAAAGTATTTGTATCGCTGGGCAGCGAGTTTTTTTTTTTTTTTTTTTTTTTTTTAAAAAAGCGAAAGAATTAGATAACCGCAGAATTAAACCTA